CGAATTCCCAGGACACGTGGTACAGTACAGCAATGATAATGGTACTTCCTGGGATGATGTCCCAAACGAATGGTTCCTTAACGATAATAACCCATTTCTATTGAGAACAAGGTATACAGGCAAACTATAAATATTGTTTACCAAGTCTATTTAAATGAATTGTAAAATGTAAACTTTTTACTGCAAGGATATTTAATAGTAGTCATGTATTTCAACTTTAATAATTCAAATATTCAAAAAAGTACATTTCAGTACAATTTTGATTTACCATTTATGTTGTTGAGGTTTGATATGCTTTATTTGATAATATATAAGGAAAAAGTGTGAGAATTGATATCAATTTTATATAAAACAAATAACTTTTTTTCTCAGAAAATGTGTAAAAAGAAATAGAACATTGAATACTTATCTTTTAATTTTCAAATATTGGAATAAGGACGAAGGATAAAACAAGATTTAGCAGAGCAGTCATATTTTATCCAGGTAAGATATATGCAATATTTAATTTCTTCCTGAAATGCTAGCTGACGGTTGCAAACATTTAATAAATACTGATACTACTAAAAATGTCAAACGAAGTTGTTTTTAAGATATAAATTTGTTTTCAGAGGAACCATGGCCAATATCTGACCAGCATCTTATAGACTACATCGCTGAAAACTTGGATATTAGATATGACGTTATCAGTAATCTTGTAAACGATTGGCAAAACTTTACCGCAAAAATTACAATGAGGAATGTTGGAACTCGTGATCTGTCTTATGGAAACTGGGAACTATATTTCTACTCAATACGCCTCATACAGCCAAATGATTTTCCTTACCGACATGGTCACTTATTACAGGATTGCAATATGAGGGTTTATCATGTTGGAGGTTTTTTACTTAAACTCACACCTGCAAGTCGACATTTTTCATTAAAGAGTCACGCTAACTCGATATGCACACTTGTTGCAAAATACTGGCAATCTGCCAGGACAGACTGTATGCCGAACTGGTACGTCACAGCAGAGGGCATGCAGGCAAAGGATATAAAGTCAACTCAAAATGAGGCTCTGACCTATGTTGGACCTTTCATTACGCCTGCGCAGTATCGCCGTTATCCAGAGGATACCTATCATCCATACACGCCAGAAGAGAGATATAATCTGAATGAGGCTTTAACAGTGCCTGGGATAAATTCAAAACGTATTATACCAACTCCTGTCAACATTTCTCTAAAAGCAAGTTCAGTGACCATCGATCCATCATGGGTTGTTCTAAACAGTACAAAGTGCAACAGGGGAATAAGGTTAATATCTGGTAAGTGATTACGTTGTAAATCAAAGTAAAGATTAATTTGTACATTTTAATCAAACTCATTTTAAACAAGATTTTATATCATTGTGATTTGCCCTGTCTGTCTGTCTATCCATCAGTCAATCGTCCGTCAGTCCTATAATCTCTATCTTCTATGCATCAAAAGTAATGGCAAAAGACCGAAAAGGCTTTTCTAGCATATAGGTCACACTAAATGTCACAAGGTCATTGACCTTGACGTCTTTTAAACAACATAAGTTGTGTAATCATGAGCTATGGAGATATGCGATTTCAAAGGAAATTCCAGGTGAATAAAGGAGAGTAGTAATTTATCTTGATGCATAATGTGTGGCATTTTAATCTTTCCGGGTATTTCAGCTTAATTTTTTTTTAATATTGTGCAGAATAATAACGTAATACTACTACTTCTCAATTAAATATATCACCGAATTCATGATCAACCCTATTTTTTAACAGAACTCTTTGGTGCCACTATTGGGAGCATTAAACCGCCATCTAAATTTATTGAAATAAAAACAGTGAACAATTTAAATATTCTTGGAATGAAAGAAACACTGGATGAAGCCTATTGGATTGATATAACGAAATCATCTGTAACTATATCCGTGAGAACCCCTATGGGCGTGTTCTATGCCTATCAGTCACTGCGGAGCTTGACAAATGGAGGAAAGATACTTCCGCTTGGTGTCATTAGAGATCAGCCTCGATTTGAATACAGGGGTATGCATGTCGATGTAGGACGAAATTTTCATTCCAAAGAAGATATTATGAAAATCCTTGACGCCATGGCAATGTATAAATTAAACAAGTTTCACTTTCACTTGACGGAGGACGAGGGCTGGAGAGTTGAGATTCCTGGTCTACCTGAACTCACAGAGGTAAAATTGTTTATTAATTGATTAATTGCCTTTTTTATGGCACATTCGAGACTTTACCACATCACTTATAGTGACATCGGCCCTTGGTTATAAAGTCTCATCCGAAAGTTCACTGACTTTAATTTCTAGGAGAAGGAGCAGCATTTCCTGTGTTTACACTTTTTGACGCAGCACGGTGTACATAGCCATGACGTGAACGGGAATCGGCCCAAGGCCTCTTACATGTTTATGTTAAAAAATAAATATTCAGAATACCACATGTCGTAAAAGTGGTTATTTATACTGGATGTTAAGTACGCGTTTGTGATAGTCAATCATTACGCGTGGGTGTAAAATACGCGGTCGTGCGATTTAACGCGAATAATTTACGCGTTTTTTCTTACCAACACCGTGTACGAGTTGTTTCCCTTTCTATAGTCAAGCAAGTTTTACATGTACATTACACGCAATAATGAATACCGAGTAGCTAGTTTTTGAGAACTTTTCACGACATTCTATAGCACCGTAATAAATCGATTTCACTTTGAAAGGCAATGTCTGTAAAGAATCGATTTCACTTTGAAAGGCAATGTCCATTTCAACTGGTCAGAAAGTCTACTTTGAATTATTTCAAAACTTCAACACTATCTAAAAAAAACAAGGAATGTATCTTCCTAATCCCGATCATACGCCAGAAAAACGGACTTTAAAAGAAAGAAAATGGGCGCATTTGGCGTGTGAGCTGCAGGAATCATTTGTACGAAACATTGATTTAAATGTCCATGATTTGGTTGGCTGAACATAGCTGGTCAGATTTTACAAACACGACCATAGGTTTTTTTTTTCATTCAGTTTGAAAGTGTGAGATTGTAACATTTTTGTCCGTTTTTCCTAGAGGGTACTATAACATAGTAATGTTTCATGAAAAATAAACACCTAAAATATTTAATGCATATAGATGCATGATACGTGTACATGTTCATTACCGGTATAAAGAATAGAAAATTAAAATTGAATTCGCTCGAGAGCCAAACTGAACCAAAATTCATCTAATTCAAAATTTTAATACATCAGTACATAAAACGAAACTGACGAAATAAATGATTGTTTGCATGAAAAAAAAATTATCGCCCCATGCCAGGCTGGAACCAAAAACTTTTCGATTCCAGTACAATGAACAGGTAGCCCAACTTACTGAGCTATCACCGCTACCAGACCTGTTTACCCATATCGTCGTCTCTCAGTATTTTGGATTAGATTTCTCCGTGAGATTTGGCATTTGCCAGTAAGATTTAAATTTCCGTCGATCTTACATATTTTAAAAAAGAACAACTACTGCACTGATTACAAATACTTGGTTTAACAACATGGTCATTGTCATTTTATAATACCACATCGTTTTGGGAACACGACATCACTTAGGTGTTTGAAATTTTCCTCCTTTTAGTCGACTCAAATGCGTGAAACGAAGACATATCAAAACGAAAACTAACTGCTACGTTTCAAACAAACGTATTTCCAATTTCCGTATTTTCAAAATAGCAAAACGTGAGACGTATTTTAGACTAAAAATCCGTACAAAATACGGCAAAATCGTAAGCGTAAACAGGTCTGCGCTACACATACACAGATGATTTTAAAAGGACAAAGAAGCACCACATTCACACATTTGGATTTTTTTTCGGAAAAGCTCGTTTCTCGTGGTCTCTGGGTCTTCTCTCCATTTTTAAAAAAAAGTGTATTCGTTTCTTTGAATTAAAATACACACAAATAACGTTTTAAAATCATAGAGAGAAGACCCAGAGATAGAAAAATTTTAGAAATGTACCATTTTGTACCAAATGTCTAATGTGGCCAATTTTCAAGTTATTTTTTAGCAAATCAAAGCTCAATTTCGGGAAAATATTTTCCTTTCCTGTTACAGAACCCGATAAATAAAAAAAAATGTTAAAATTTCATGTGACATGTCGATGAAATTTTCACTTTTCAATTACGCCCATATTCCTGCCGAATGTCAATCAAAAGCGCCTTCGTTCTTTAAACGATATAGATGATGAGGCATTCACATATCGCTAGACATAATGATTAATAAACTGTTGTTTTTAAATTGTATCATAAGGAGTCTTTTTCTGGTGAATTATGGCACAAAAATAAAAATAAATGATTTTTTAAAAGTTTTCACAATTCTTGTATAATATATGCTTTTGTAGTATATACGTATTTAGGTGTGTACATTGAAGCGTTTAATTATGACTGGTTTGACAAATCTAAAGGTATGAATAACTAGGTAAGGAAGTCCTGAGAACTTCAATATTTTTACAGTATTAGAAATTACTCATACATGTTTATATCAACATAAGAAATACATTTTCTGAATTGTGTGTTTTTGCAGGGGAGAGGTTAAAGAATTCGAGTCTGTTAAAACTAAAATAAAAATAAATTATATAATTAAAGACGGGTACATGTACATATGTATTCTAATATCCGCAATTTCACACCACCCTGCAGATAACGTTATAATCTCGAGTATTTATTAGGAAAATTATGTTAAAATCTCCAATATTTATTAGATGGGGAAAATTTTCGTATTTGCATGTTCATGACCGAAATAAATGACTTGTCTTTAGTAAATTTTATTAATGCCTTATTTAATTTTATTAATGACTTATATTGATTATAGGTAGCTTCCAAACGTTGTCATGATCCGATGGAGGATGAGTGCATATTTCCTCAGTTAGGATCTGGGTCGGGACAAAGCGGACTCGGTTCTGGATTTTACACAGTCGAGGATTATAAAGAAATACTCCGTTTCGCCAACGACCGCCATATTGAAGTTATTCCTGAAATCGATATGCCTGGACATTGTCGTGCAGGAATTAAAGCAATGGAGGCGCGGTTCCGGAAGTACATGAAATTCGGAAACAAGACTGCAGCACGGGAATACCTTATGACAGACTTCCCTGACAAAACAGAATACCTTTCCGTGCAGATGTTTACAGATAACGCCATTAATCCCTGCATGGACTCCACGTTTGCTTTCATAAAGCAGGTTATAAGAGCATTCAAATTTATGCATGCAGATATTCAACCGCTGAAGATGTATCATTTTGGAGGTAACATTTAGCAAACATTCATTGTGTGAAAGCAAATAATTTAGATATAAAACAAACGTAAGACTTTTGAAAATGTACCTTGTACACTTACTTATGCAAAGTTTAGTTTAATTTCAATAAATTCGTTTAATCTGCATATTTGTGTTACTGAAAATACTTAAACATTCTGACATATAAAAAAACTTACTTCTTATGGTGTAAATACAAAAATATTACTGTTTTTTCTTAACAACTATCTCAGTCGTAAAGTCTCAAGTCTCAAATATACGATATACTGTTGACCAAAATATTAAATAATTGTAAGCGCGTGCTTTTGCAATCTTATCAAAATTAAGGTTTATATCCTCTCGCATACGCACTACTCTAACTCATAGAGGGTCACGTCAGAGGTAAAATTCGGAAGAACTCTAGACTTATTCGCATTAACAAATATATGATGATTGTGCTGGCGACAATTTGATTGGATGATATACTGTAGCGAGAATACGAGCAGACACTACATGTAACATCTAATTTTAACAAGACTGGTGCTTGTATTTCTAACTCTTCCTGTAGGTGATGAAATAGCAGGTGCTTGGAAAGATTCCCCCGAGTGTCAGAGGTTCTTGAGTAAATCAGGACTGAAGAATGTAGGCGAACTTAAGAAGTATTTTGCTCATATGATGGCCAGGATAACGGACAATTATGGACTTAATGTAGCAGCCTGGGGCGATGGACTGAAGGATGGCCCCAAGCCTTACGATCCGTCTGAATTTCCTACTAAAAGGTACGAAATCTCAAACTTTAACCTTATAAACTTTTACAAACTTGATACACAAAGCATAAATAGAGTGTTTTTCTATTGAATCTGAAAGCATTTAAATACAAAATATAAAAAAAAACAAAAAAATTATCAATTAATATTTATTTCCCCGAGCGAGTTCAATGTTCAAATTAAAGATGTTTCAAATTATGTTTTTTTTTATTATTATTTTAGAGATATAACGGCCTATAATTGGGAGAACGTCTGGGAATGGGGACAGGGCGATAAAGCTTATAAACTGGCTAATGCTGGATATAAGGTATCTATACATGCATAAACTGGCTAATGCTGGATATAAGGTATCTTATTAAATAAATATAAACATTATAGTCTCCTCCAAATTATTACATTTCAGGATAAACGAAAAGATACTTACTCATAGATATATGGTTCTATGAAGATATTCACGTGAAAAATGAATAAAACTTGATAAATCTATCAAATTAAATTTCTTTTGCATTGCATTGAAATCTTGGATACTTTGAAATTTCCGTAAACGTTCATGCAGTTATAGTCCTACATGTAAAACGATATCTAAATCTACAGAACCACAACCTTTAAATACATTGTTAAAAATAATAATTCATTTTGGCTATAAATCATCATGAGAAAAATTTTGAGGTTAAGTTTCATTATAAATCAAAGTCAAATAATTTTTAAATATATGTAGTATTTGTGGGAATTCTCTGTAAGGGGTTTACCATTTCACTAATTATATATGCAAGGTTAATGCATGAATGATCACTTCAGGTTGTGCTCGGGCACGCAACTCATTTATATTTTGACCATCCATACGAGCCCGATCCCGAGGAACGAGGTTTCTACTGGGCCACGAGATTTACCGACACTCGGAAAACCTTTGACTTTGTCCCCAGCAATATATATTATAATGCCGACAAAGCCGGCAACGGGAAACCTCTGACTCCAGATCAGATCTGTACAAACAATGGCACCTGTCTACAGCTAACAAAACCAGAAAATATCATAGGTTTGTTTTCACTTAAATGCCTAAGCTACTTGCAAAAAAGTCGCTTTTGTTGTCTTTTTACAATTTTAATAATAATGACATTACAAATTAAATCACACACACAATTTTATTCTTCACTGCGTTACTCCGTAGGTTACTAATTATAACATACGTCTATATTTGTTAAATATTTTTTTATAATTCGGTAATTAAAACGGATATAGAAAGGCCTGTTAGAAAATCGCAAAGTTTTATCCTACATTATGCCCAAAAACACGTTTCAAATTTCAACGTAACTTATTATGACATACTTCCTTAGGCATGCAAGGTCATATCTGGACGGAAACGGTTCGTACAGCTGATCAACTACAGGAAATGGTATTTCCTCGCCTTATAGCCCTAGCAGAGAAAGCATGGCACAAATCTTCATGGGAAAACATCGAAAATAAGGATGAGCGGATCAGAAAAACAAATGAAGAATGGACTTCGTTCGCAATGGCGTTAGTTGAAAAGGAGTTGAGACGCTTAGAAAATATGGGAATCGGATACCACATTCCTGTTCCGGGGGCTAGGTATTTCTATTGTGTTTTTAGACTTCTTTGTTTTGTTTTTTAGAATTATTCTTTTTTCGATTATGATGCTAACATCAACGACATTAAACTTTCAGATGATTAGAATGTTAATAACCCATTAATCAGAAGTTAAATGAGAAATGAAAAGTAAACAGAACAAAATTCAAGTTAAATTTTCAAGTGCAATTTCCATGTTGAAAAATAATCCCGATATCGCTACAGATGCCACTTGGTTTTCATGAAACATATTGAGATAACAAACAGTATTCAAGATCAGATGTCCATAAAACAATACAAGTTAGGAACAGAACAAACATGGACGTCCAAAACATCAGTCGTGGAGGAGTGAGCATCCCCTGCCGACCGAACTTTGCAATGATAAATCACATGCAGTTATTGAGTTTGTGAAACCTCTTTAAATGTGTCAAGAACAGGTCTTGGACAGTTTGTAAAATTTTGGAAATGTGTATGCTGATATAAAAACTTATAGAACAACTTTATATTTTTTCAGAATGATAAATAAGAATATACATGTCAACACGGCACTTCCTGGCTTGTCGGTTCAATACAGCAGTGATAATAAACAAACATGGAAAGATTTCCCTCTCCGTAATAAGATTTCAGCATTGCCTATGGGAAAGGAAATATTTTTCCGGACTAAGTAAGTAAATATCATATGGAACGTTTGCTAATTTGAAGACTAATGGTGATCAACTGTAAACAGTATTTCAAACAAAACGCATTTGTTTATGTTCAATAGAGTGACCTTTGAAAACTACATTTGTTTTTTTTTTTCAATATATTATAAGGATCATTTTAACACTTTATTATTTAAACAGTTGTTCTGATTAACTAGGTATTTAATGCTAAAACTATTGAAAAATATTGCATTTTCGGAAGAATGCATAAATTTTAAAAAATAGTTTTGCAGCTGTTAAAATGAAAATTATACGAGCAGAATGAAAAATATACATATTTTTTTAGTTATTTACGCTTGCATTGTATAATAAAAAAAAAACATCGCGTATAATTTTATATTTCATCTCCTTTTGGTAGATAGAAAAAAAGAAACAAATGTTAACTTTTTTTTGGTAATACAGGTCGGTGGACGGAAGTCGATACAGTAGAGTGGTGTCCTTCAGACCATAAGAACTTGAATATACTTCTCCTACATACTCATAAACCTGAAGTCAGAGAACAGCCATCCTTTCACTCTTTGTTATCAACAGTGATAATGACTGTAATATTCACCCATAGTTTATTACTGACATAACGCTTTACTTTCATTTATTTTAAATTGCACATGTTGATCTAAAGAGTTATTTCAGTTTATTATTCTTCATCAATAAAAGGGACATAAAAGGGATATTTGAATGTGTTTAATTTGCCTTCGTTCCACTTATATTAATAACCCTCCATTTATCATGAATCGTCTTTAGAAAGATATTTGCTTGCCCTCTCCCAAATCACGTGCATGAAAGGTTTTTTTTTTAGAGAAATGTAAGCGTCAACGTTTAGTTTATTAGAAGAAAAGATTGATTTGTTATACATTAACAATGTCAAAAGCCTTTTTATAACTACAGTGTAGATCGTTATATAAATAGATCGTTAGCACTTAACATAAACAGAGTTGTCCTTGGATAAATAAGGTCGTGAGCAAACTATAAATAGATTTAATTTTCCGTAAAACCAGCATTTCATTTTCGATAAAAAAAAAATTCACGAATATTAATATTAGATGTATGTACAAGTAGTTTTTAATCTTCAACATAAAGTTAGTATATTGATATTGTAAACGAATATGACAGAGTATTGTGAAAATCGTACGTTTAAATACAAATTTTGGATTTCTACAAATCTTTTGTTTCTTCTTCATTTTCTTATTCCCTTTCATCATGTTCATAAAACTTTTGTCACTTAATTGGAACTAATGCTTTTTCAAAAGACACTGTGAATGTATGAGTGTAAGATAAATATTTCGAAATAAACTTTTATTTTAAAAAAACTGTTCAAAATACATAGATACTAATGAAGTATAAAATGTTCTTATATGACAAGTAAATTTCGGTTTGAATTACATAAATAGCATATTTAAGGAAATAAAGCTTAAATTATAGTTTTATTGTGTGAAAACTACAATAGCGAAACTCTTCATTTTTATACCATATATAACTCACAGTAACTTCAGTGTACATACAAAGTTTAGAAAATGGCTATTTTTGTAAAGTTTAAATACAGGTACATTTACTATAGGATTATATAGGAAAATGCCAATTTTTAGCACTTTAAAGCAAATTTTTACAATAGACATTTTGTTCAAATATATATTTGATGAGTAATACTATATTACACAATATATGTAAGAAACACAAAATTCTACCATCTTGTTACCAGCGGGGGCATCTCAAAATGCCAAAAATTAGCAACTTTTACTATTTTTTTAGAGTATTTACAAAATATGACGTCCACAATGGATTCACATGAAAACATAATAAAAATATTGGAGATATTCTCAAATTTCTATGTTTTAAATTTCAAGAGCGTATGTTTATTGCTTTTTCCTTAATAATATTTTTATTACCCCTTTCTTTAAGAGCTATAGATTATCATAACGTCAAAAACACACTGCAACGACGTCAACCTACCTATCAATTGCAAAATCGGTTAAAAAATCAGTTATATCAATTCTAATTACATTTTTATACCTATGATTTCTTAATTTTATTAAATTTTAATAATTTAGCGAAAAAAGTTGCATTAAAACAGTAAATACGCTTCATGTTACTATGATGCGCGAAATATTGCGCAATGGAAACTATAGTCGGCCCCCTTAAATAATTTTTTTAAAAATGGCGGCGACAGATAAAAACTGATATTTAAATATATGTTAATTTTCGAATTACGATATTGTAACGATACAATGCCGTGCCTAAAAAAATTAATAAACCTGGTATAAATAACTCTTACAGCATTTCGTTATAATAATACGTGGGCTTTGTACCTTTACGCAGGTAGGTTAAGGTTACAACCAAATATTCTACTTGCCTATATATGACGTCATAATAAGCTATATGACGTGAGATTTAGAGATAACAATTTCTTAAAATCGATATCTAAGATTGATTTGAGGTCGTAAAAATGAACCAAAATATGCAGAGGAATAATATCAACGGAATTTTGTGTTCCCGGGCCTTGTAGTTATCACAGGGGTTACATACCAAACCCGTGACGTCATAACTGTTGATCATGCAAGCAGAGTGAAAGTGAAAAGTAACGAGAATTGATGTAAACAAACACAAGAAATCGAAAAGTTTAAAAGCATTTAGAATGAACAACATGTGTGATTCTTGTGGGAATAAACGTATATTTAAATATGTTAATATAATTCTGCAATTTCTTCGTAAAATTAAATCTGGGAGGGTGTTTACTTGCCGATACGGCCTTTTTGTCGTATCGTAACAAAAAAGTATCAAAATTTCAACACTACGCCGAAACTTAATTTTTGTTTAACTGCTTATAAAATCTTTTTTTGCATTAAAATAAACAAATTATTTCTTTGCAAGTAAGAATAATTTATTCAAAATTGTTGTTTATATGTTGTAAAACCAAAATATTTTATTCTAGTTCTGTTAATTATCATTTATTTTATATTTATATTTACATTTAGCTTATTTTTTTTATATATATTAAACCCCAAATGTTAAATAAACCAAAAAAAATAGAAATAAGATTTTTTTTAACGATATTTCATCATATGTATCGATATGCGTATCGTCCTCACAGATATCACGATATAAGTCTATAGAATGCATAATTATGTAAAAGTTTTATACAATGCTTTTGCCTTTAAAAATAATAAACCTAGTATAAATAACTCTTTAATAATACGTGGGCTCTGTACCTTTAGACAGTCAAAAAAACAAGAGAAAGTCTTTGTATGAAAGAAACATGTAATAATTTATTGTATAAAAGTAAATAAAACAAACGAGATATTTGGAATATCCTGGTTACCTCGGGATGGCGCAGAAATAGAAGGTACACCACTCTGGAATCGAAGGTGCAACGAAACCAGGAAGCTACAGCTGTAGCAAGTAAACTAGTTGAAAAGAATAATATCAATATTTGGTGTACCCCTTTCCATCCACTCAGACCAAGCGGTCTCAATTTGATGGCATGGTCGAAGAGGCCAATAGAACCATAGAAAAATACAAAACATGCCGACAGCAGTTGCCTCTGAAAATCAGAACGACTGGGATGAGTATATATATTCGCTCTTGTTGGCCTATCGTTCGTCAGACCACGAGTCAACAGGTTTTTCCCCTTACAGAATGTTTTTTGGCACCCAGCCAACCTTGCCAATAGACCTTATATTAGGAAGACCTGAAACTACCGACAACCAAGTTTTTAATTCTGACCATGTAGAACATTTAAGACAAAAGTCGAACAGAATAGTGAAAATACATGACTGGGCCAGACAACATTTAAGCCTTTCCTCTAAAAATATGAAAAGGAGATATGACAACCAAAGTAATGCATATTTATAAAATCGGGGATACCGTGTGGTTATAAAGCCCTACTTGAACCAAAGGGAGATGCCTATAACTACGTTGGTCCTATCACCGTTACCAATAAAATCAATGATATTCTTTTTAGAATCCAAAGGTTCCCCCATTCTAAAACAAAAATTGTGCACCATGACAGATTAAAACCTAACCTGGGAGATAGTGTTCCCCCCTGGTTAAAACCATAGCTGTATTTCCCCGTCTTTACTTTTACATTTTCATTATTCATTCACTCCACCTATAGTTGATACAAAATTTTATAATCATCACCAAAAAAATTCTGTTGGAAGTAATCCTATTGACAAATTACCATTGTATTAAATGAATAAATTCATGCATTTAGAGAAATGTATCTCGACCTGTACCTGTATACTTACGAGTTGTATACCTTTCATTTCCACAATATCTGCATGTACCAGTGTGGTACATGCTTCGAATTCGAGAAACGTTTCCAGTGTGAACATCATATGATAGAACAACACAGTGGCTATGGTTATAAATTAGGAGAGTTTAAGCAAATGTTCAACCGTCTAGACATTCACAAGTCAAAGTGTCCTGGGGCCACCTTCTCCCCCGTTAATCGTAAAACAGGACAGTTCAGTTCACTTCATGTAACGAGCGGGAATTTGCCATCTTTAAGAACAACCTGTCCTCCCTGATAATCCGGCTGCCACGCCTCATCAACATCACTCCTGAGGAAAAAATAAACGTTCTATAGAGAATCGAGTCAAAACACATATTAAACACACAAAGTCAGCACATCCAAGAAACCTCTTCCAACAGAAAGACCTGAACCTTCAAGCTTACCAGCCAATATCTCCAGAGCCATTTCCGTTGCTCGCTAAACTTCAGACGCTTTCCATTCCACCTACTGCCACAAGAAAGTCTATGCCAACTGCCACCAGTCTGCGCCAGTCCCTTCCACTTCAAAATACTTTCGTCCTCCAGAAGCCTGTGTACCATCCAACGCCAGCCAGCCTAGCATCTCCGTCAACATCATCCTCTAACTCATCCAGTTTATCAAGCTCTGCCCATTCCCCAACAAATAAACCAGCTCTGTCCATATTTGCAGCTACATCTCAGTTTGAATCCGATCCTCCAAAGGAAAATCTGCCTGAACTCCTCACAAACACCGTTAAAACGCAAAATGTTCCACCTAACACCTATTCAGCAAATACGACTTAAAGGACTCGCTATGGCCCACTTTCTCTTTTTAATGTTTTTCAAGAAAATTTCAGTATATAATACCAAAGAGAGAACAGATAGGAAAGGAATTATAATTTTAAAATATGCTATTTATTTTGTTAATTGATGTATTTCTGTTGTTTTCAGTCATATCAATATGTATAAACAGCAAGTCATATCAATATGTATAAACAGCAAACAATGAATGAATTAGAAAGGAATTTTAAAAAAATATAATAAATTTTGCTATTTATTCCGTTAATTTTCTTACCACTTCCTTAAATTTTAATTTATATCATTTACGGAAGAAACGCAATTTTAATTTTTAATTAAATTATGAATTATGTTGGAATTGTAATATTCAAATCCCAGATACAACTCAATTTATTTTCTATTAATTTCGTATGTGATAAAATGTCAATGTACTCTTTTCAAAAATTTACGGAATGCTGCAGAATTTTCACTGTTCATACGAAAGAAATAACACATTGATTGTTATGCATATGGTTTAAACGCTAATTATATCAACGTACATGCATGGTCTCATGTTACAAAAATAGTTTTACTAAAGCATCTATTAATAGAGCTTCCTGGGTTTCTCGCATCGTCCCCT